TTTTCCTTTGCGAAAATGCAATCTGCGGCTTTGTTTACGAGTTATTAACGGAAAACACTGACCAATGAGAGGTGACGGCGCGAAGTTCGAGAGCCCGCAGCACGAGACTTTGACAGATGGTCGGGACGGACTCGAGCCGCGTTCGAAGTATTGAACAAATCACGAAGCGAGAACTTTCCGGATTTTTTTTTACTACGTAATGGTGATATTTTTAAGAAAAACGCTGTTCACCTTTACTTTAGAACGTCTGAAGAATATTTACTAATTTTTCGGACCCGAAATGGTAAGTAATTTAACCGTGACGGCCGTTTTAATTTTCTAGTGTGCATGACACCTTGTGTGTAACATGAAATTTTTAAGCAAGGTGTACAGTGAAAATTAACAAAGTACGTAAATGATATTTTAATTTAAATAATTCCGTGTCCGAACACAGTTCAACGAATGATTCGCAAAGCTAATTTAATAAATAATAATCGTGTTAAAGGACGTAAGGGATATGTTTGTTAGGGAAATATGAAGACCCTCGTCCCGCTCCCCGGGCGGGGCGGGTGTGTCTGGCGAACAGATTTCCTCCACGTAAAAATAAAAAAAAAATGTTATTGATAATATTCTTCATATTTCTCTAACAAACATATCGCTTACGTCCTTTAACACGATTATTATTTATTAAATTAGCTTTGCGAATCATTTGTAGAACTGTGTTCGGACACGGAATTATTTAAATTAAAATATCATTTACGTACTTTGTTAATCTTCACTGTACCCCTTACTTAAAAATTTCATGTTACACACAAGGTGTCATGCACACTAGAAAATTAAAACGGCCGTCACGGTTAAATTACTTACCATTTCGGGTCCGAAAAATTAGTAAATATTCTTCAGACGTTCTAAAGTAAAGGTGAACAGCGTTTTTCTTAAAAATATCACTGTTACGTAATAAAAAAAAATCCGTAAGGTTCTCGCTTCGTGATTTGTTCAATATTTCGAACACGGCTCATGACCGTCCCGACCATCTGTCAAAGCCTTGTGCTGCGGGCTCTCGAACTTCGCGCCGTCACCTCTCATTGGTCAGTGTTTCCCGTTAATAACTCGTAAACAAAGCCGCAGATTGCATTTTCGCAAAGGAAAAAGTTGCTTCAAATGACCTCAGCTACCCCTCATTTTCGGCTGCTAAAATAATTGTGGAACACCCTGTATATATAACATTACCTTCGTACAGCCAGTCAGGTAATCCATTCGACAAAATACCAGGAATTGATGTATTAGTAACTCGATAGCCTGTATTACTCATAGGACCAGTTCTATAATATATATCATAATCTTGCACCATGACAAGTCCGTGACCGCGCGGAGTCCATTTTGCTAATAAAAGATAAGGATGATCCTCCTTCTCCGGGTATGGACTTAATTTTATAATTTCCCTGCAATTATATACCAGCGATGTGTATTGCTCACAACTAATATTGCTTGCGAATATTGCGTTCAACTACATATGTATATAGCGTAGTCCACTTGATTGGAGATATAAATCCGCCATTTTACAACCGTGAGAAGATAATGCTTAGGATTTATGTAGTATCACTATTTTATGAGGCGCGCGTATTGACAGAGAATATAATTCTCTAAAAATTATTTTTGTATGGAAGATTTGAAAGTTCTTATGTCGTATACAATTATTATTTGAAAATATACAGTTTTATTTCCAGTAATAATAAAATAATTTCATCGTGATTAGTAATAATAACGTGTACGTTATTATTACTAATCATCTGTAGATCTGTAGATTGTTCTGTAGATCAATTTTTTTCTTTATGTAGACGCGGATTAAACGACCTCTTACACGGTGACCTATATTGAACAGTGTACGGTTTTCAGCACTCTGATCTCTCGCTTGTTACAGTACAATTAGGTCATGCTCCACGAAATCGGACACTTTTTAGAGTACTTAATTTTAAAGTGGTCGTATTTTTGAAAACCCTGTACGTTGAATTTTTTTCATTATATTCCTACTCATCTTTTAAATAAATCCGTCGCAATTCGACAATATAATTTCGAATATTTAAATTAATTAGAATCAGATATTTGAATGAACAAATTTTGTAATGAGTGATCTCGAATATCTGCGATCACGATTACATAAAAAATAGAAGGTCATTAAATTTGTGTAGGTATATAGTAAATTCTTAAAATTCTAAAGCATATAGTAAATTTGTTAACAGTGTATCTGCATCATGAAATAATGATACTTTATTTTGCAAAATGCTCTTCCTTGCCGTCATAAAAAATGGAAAGATTTACATATTCATATTTAAGTGGACCACCTTATACAGTGCAGGGTGTAACGAAATTGTATATTGTAACTACCATAGCGTGATTCTACACTCTCGGTTTAGTGGAAATTGCTAAACTTGTTAAAGTTTGCTTCCTGCAACTTTTTCATCTGGGTCTATACAGAAATTTTGGAAAATGCACAGTTGCATAAAAATCGATTGATGCAAAAGCAAGTGACGGGTATCGAAGAATGTAAAAATCTTTAATTTTTGGAAATAAATCTCATGTGAGATCCAAAAACAAATTTTTAGTGAAGTACACGTGTGGGCCAACAATTGGTCTACACAATAATGTTCATTGATTTCGATGTAATTTTCAAAATGTATGAATTTAACATAAATCCACAAATCTTGTCTTTTTTCAATTTTTAGTACAGGCTCAAAACAAAAAAGCTTGTAAAAAGCAACTTTCAATATTTTCTACTGCTAGTACAATTGTTACTTCGACATATTATCGTGAGATTTATACTACGTAAATTAAATAGATATCATATAGGTAAAATTTGATATGAGATCTTTACTAACCGTGTATTCACATCATAGACATTGTACTGTGCTAAATACGAGTATCGAAACAGTTTCTTCACGTTATAAGCTAGGAGCAAGTATTTACGATCCGGCGATAACAAGAACTTGGCAGGATTCAGTCTTCTCTGCACATAAAAAAGAATTCTTAATGAATCCTTTCATCGCATCAGTTATCATTTTCTTTCACTAAATTCTTGTCGTTCTGCATTTTTATGTATAGAACTATATCTTTGCATTTTCAAGTTACTTATTTTTACATTTTCAATTATTACAGATCTTTAGCACATTACATATAGCAAAGAACATCTTTATTTATGTTTATTATTCACTAAAATTTTAAAAAATGCATTGTGCTAACTTTTTATCAGACACGTAAGCTGGACAGTGGGCAGACGTGTTGTATGGAGAAAAATAATTTATAATAGTGAATTAACAACATATCAAGCAACATATTTTAATCAAATATTATTCTAGTTATACCATAAAGGTGTCGCGATAAAATGTGGTTTAAATTTCAAATTACATTTTCATTTTACATTACGTTTGTACATGTTAGATTCTTGTGCTAGATGAAATATAAATTTTTGTAACTTCACAAAGCAACTTAAACAATGTTTACTTAGAAAATGTTTTTGCTCCATTCAATATTCCTAATACAACTTATAATCCTGATGTTTCGATTTTCATATCACTTCTTTAATTTGCAAATAATATTAGATAATATTGTTAAATAAACCTAGTATAATAATAATAATTATTCGGTGTACTATTTATTTTACAGGAACTTTTTAAATAATCGTTCTAAAAGAACTCGTTGCCATGGAACTTCTAATGCACAGATTCTAAAATATCTGTTCGATGAGAACATTTATTGAAAACGTTCTCAAGAGGAAAGAACTCTTATCGTAAAAGTTCTGTGAGAGCGGATATTTTGTTGAACGCAACGTGCAAGTTTTTTCGAACAGAGTTTTTTTTCACAACGGAAGGTACCTATCCTTTCGAAATCTAGTTTTGTTACACCGCCCTATCTTATTTGCCAATAAGTGTTATACTTACAAAAGTTTCATTGGGCATTAAGCTACGGGAGGTAACGTTATCTTGATTAATATGTAACAGCGAAATTCCACCCCAAACATCCCTGTAGCATATGTGTTGTTCGCTTGTCCATGACCCGTTGAAAAGGAGAGGAGTTAATTCTCCGGATAGTACCTGAAACATCATTAATTTTGATTATTAATGCAATGTTAAATTATAAAAGGTTTCTACGCTCCAAGCGAATCCTTTTGTTGGTCAAATTTACCGCTTTTCACGCCAAATAAATTCTTCTCTATATCGTACTTACCTATTTGCAAATAAAATTAATCCATTCACTGATCGTATTCACCTTTTTGCAAATCCAATTAATCCTTTCACAGATCAAGACTGACCGTCCTTTATTCGATTTTCAAATTCAATACGAATTTATATTCTTGTTCACAAAATAATACAAATATTACCAATCATCGTTAATCTTTAATAATTATTGATAAAATGTCATTGAATTGTCAAATTTCATGTGAATTTTATTACAAATAATTACAAATAATTACAAATATTATAATTACAAATTAAGCGAGTTTCATTTGTAAAAAAATTAATCAGACCTGCAGAAAGGTTAATTTTATTTGCGAGAAACTGAATATGATGTACAAAAGAATTTTTTGAGTACGAAACCTTAATGTATGAATCTTTTTAAATATTATTATTATTATTAAGAAATTACATTATTGTAATTACTTATAAATTGTAATAAACTTGTTAATTACTTATAAACGCGCGCGCGCGTTCGCTCTTTAACAGTTCAACTGACTGCAAGTTATTTCCAATAGTTCAAATTGTTTCCGGTGATTATCCACTGGTTCGAGCTAATGTTATAGTTACAGTATATTTACGCTGTACGTCAATATTTACTAACACAAGAATACTAGGAATGTTAATCCTTAACTGCTACCACGTTTAGTAAGATTACAAACTGTCACACCCGAATCTTTCTAAAAATTCCGTAAGAATTTGCCAAAATACTTTCAGATACACACTTCTAAGACTACAGTATCTAAAAATTCCAAAAGAAATATACTGTAACGAAAACCAATATACAGAAAATTGGTTTGGGGTGACGAGAGATCCCGGTACACCATTACAGGATTAAGTTACAAACTTAATGCATAATTTATTTAAGAATATAATCTGAATCTATAACGTAAATACTATATATAGTACATACAATAATGAACGAATGTTATAACAAACATTAGCTCGTGCACTTCAATGGCCATTGCCCTAAATATGTCACTCAAACTATACATAAATGTTCCGAATTCATTTGAAATACAGAATTTATTTTGTTTTTATTTTATCTGTTAAAGGTTCATTATTAACAAAAAAAAGGATTTATTTACTATTTTTTACTTATTATTATTGGAAAATAGGAAATGTTGGCGTCCAGAACGGATTCTCTCAAAATAGGCTTGGCAGTCAATGTGATAAATACGTAACATCAATTCGTATTCGTAGCAATCATAAGTGTTATTAATATTCATCTACCTAATATTCATTTTTGGAAAAGACAAGTCGTGTAATAGACAAAGTATCTAGTTTTTATATTATTTGATGACTTTATATTGCATTCGTATTAAATGAATACATCTGTTGCAAAAAGTAGGAGCAGTTTAGAAGTTGCATTTTTTCCTTAATAATTTTAGTAGGTTAAAAATATATATCGGCGTTATTAAATGATTTTAATCTTTCAATTATTTGTCATTCCAAATACAGAAAATTCTCCCCAATTGTCCTTCAGTTTTTGAACAAAAATGGACAATTTTGGAAGAGGGGAAACGATTATTCGAGCCTTGCGCCTCGTTTTTACAATTCTCGACAATCGGTAACTATAAAAACGAGCCGCAAGGCTTGAATAATCGTCCCCTCCTCTTGCCATATTGTTCAGTTTTTTTCACAAGCTGAAAGACAGAGAATTTACCGTACCACAAATTAAACGGAGTGGGTCTCGTCCGTACCATGTACGAACTATGCACTGAAAGAGTTAAACTTGCATTAGTTCCTGAAATAGGGTCTTAAATAACAAATAGTATCGCATACCTCGGAGAGCCGTAGCCGTGTGCCTCGTACTCTAGGGCCTTCGTCCGGTGGTGTCAACAGAGCAACTGATGTCACGATCAAAGCCAGGACCGCGACGATCACCAACAGAGCAATTAAAATCCCGCGCCAGTTTCTTTGATTTTGATTCGCTGAGACAAGCTCCTATCACAAATTTTTTCACTAACGCTAATGTCAAGTCATCAAGAACAATACATCGTTTATATTTTATCGTCCTACCAAACGTTATTGATAATAAAATTGCAAGTTCTCTCATTGAGCCAGTATTACGAATATCAATAGAATAGGGTAGTGGAGCCGATTACTGTGAGGTAACTCATGGGCGTAATTAACTTTGTAATTATCGAATTCAATTTTTTAATTAAAAGATAAACAAAATAAAAGAATAAACAAATTTAACTAAATTTAAATATATTTATCTTATTCGACAAATATAAAGTTATTCGTGTAAGATATTGTCATTTAATCAAAAAGACAGTTCTTCATTACAATTCTTGAGAATGGAATGAGATCATTACAATTTTTCAATTTTAACGCGAACTGTGTAAGCATCAACGCTCACAAGTGTCACTATGCAAGTATTGTAATCGCTAGACTGCGGATTTTTATGCAAAATAAAAACTGTTTGCATTAATTACAAGATATAGGATCTACGTAGATATTAATTTCTTTGCTTAATAATTTCAATAAGTTGATAGCAATGCAACATTATTTTTAAATTCTTGAAATATTGTCACAATTTCGCATTTTATTTTCCAATTTTTGTCATAAACGCATAAAATCCGTAGTATTGTTACAACAAATATTGATATCAAGTCGATGATCAAGTATTTCAAGTAATTCATTTTCTAGCAGTATAACAATGGAGAAACGTTTTCTTATCAGAATAGAAAATATTAAGAAGTATTTGTCTATTGTTAGATATAAATTGTAATACTGGCCAAATTCCTAAGTTCTATCTTATCCAAATCGAACCTTTCATCTACCTAAATTTTATCAATTGTGTTTGGTAAGCAAGAACCATTATTAATTCGTCAACTATTTTGACGCTAATAAAGCAGAATACGAAGGTATTAAGCTTGTTAAGGGTAAAAATGTTTAACAGCAGACATCGATTATTCGAACGTTGAATAACTGAAGTTGCAACTAAGCAACTGTTCCATTATCCGAACATTTATGTTTCCTTGATAAGTTCGGATAACCGAGGTTCTACTGTATCTTATTTCCGATGATAATGCTAAGTGCGTTGAACTATAAGTATTCTTTTGCTGTGTTGATGTTCTATTTTAAGCTAAATTATTCCATGTAATCGCATATATAACCCGTTTGAAAAAGGAAAGCTCAATTATCTGAGAAAGGAAGCATTTTAGAAGAAAGTTACAAACAAACGTGTAGATGTATTAAACATTCTATTTAACCCTTGGACTGTGATGACCGGATCATTTCGACCAAGAGAATATAAATTGTCTCCTAAATATTCAATTTTCGGCAATTAAATGAAATAAATTGCTGCTTCAATAGAAACAGCAGGATTTAATATGTCTACGATAAATATCTTGAAAAATATGTTGTGAGAAACTGGTGAACAAAGTTGACAATGGTCGCAAGTACTGTCCAATTGTAAAAATAGTCGGACATCCGAGGAAGAGATCAAACGGATTTGATCATTCAATAGAACTTTCCCTAACCTTAACACATTACTCGGAAACATTATTTTCAAAAATACTTAGACCCGTCTTTTAAAGCATCTTTAACTCTAACGCTTAATGATAAAAAATTGTGTACTCTATTTTAAAAAATCGTGTTATCTTTGACGTGGCCTCAGTGCACGTCTACTCAATGTCGAAGGATTATGAAAGTTCAATAGAATGTTATGTATGTTGTATCTGTATATTATGTTATGTATCTCATGTTTAATACCTCAACACTTCTGTCTAAAACAGCTTTCTCCAGAATGTTTTGTTTTTGAAATAATAATTAGACTGCAGATTTTATGCATTTGTGATAAAAATGAGTATATCAAATACAGAACAGTGGAACATTTAAAGAATTTAAACATATTATTGCATTACTTTCAACTAAATAAAATAATTAAAAGATGAAAAAATTAATATTTATTTCGCATAAAAATCCACAGTCTAGAAATAAACAACCACTTCGAAAAATAAAAAGAATAAACAGTAAGGTTTAAGAGAAAAGTATTTATTTTTATTATTAATATCAAGCGAGCTGCATGAGAGTTCATTTGTTGTGATATTCATACTGATAATTTCATATGATTTCATGTAACAAAGCACGAAAGTACGCACGAACCTCGTCAACTGAAACATGCGAGGACGCAGTTAGCGTCTCCCTGCTTGCATTATCAAGCTAAGTAAGTTTAGATGCCATGCGTCGACCTTAGGCCGCTACAAACCTCAAAATTAGGGAGCTTACTAAACGGCCTGCCAAGGTACAAAGGTTACAAGCGTGCACAGAGCGAGCAAACCGATCAATCCGGGACAGTCATGCTTCAGGCAGAGCCATTAGACTCGTCCAGCGGAAAATAACAAGAAAAGGACATTTATACAGGGTGGGCCGAAATTCGTAGTACAACCAAGCAGGAGGTGATTCCACGTGAAAAAATAAGAAAAAATTTGGTGTAATATTTTTTTTATTCGGGACTCCGTTTTCAAGAAAATCGACGTTAAAATTTGTTCATCTTTGTAAAGGATTTAGTTGTCGACTATTCTTCTCCCGCAAATGTCTCCGTTCGAGATTGCGTTTACAAAACCTATGGTTCCATTTTTAAATAAATAAAGATTACGTTAATTTTAACGTATGCTATCTTTTTGTCTGACACTGCAACTTTCAGGTAGTCACATTAATTTGTTCCCATTTGTCGTGACACATCGACTGTCAGATAATTTAACGCCATTCATTGTTGGTGACAGTGACTGTCAGGCGCATTGTTCATTGGCGTGAAGTACTTCCGAGAGCAACTTGCGACAATTTTACTCTCAAATGGACACATGCCATAAAACCACTGTTTTGCGGTTGTTGCTCCAAAGTGGCTCGTGCTAGTTACCTCTAAATACTGTCCTCGAAGGTTGATGCATACGGTCTAATTCACCGATCAGCTGGTTTATCAGATGTAGACCCCTTTACGCTTTTATTTCTAAGGATATTTACAATCAATAATTTATGAAACATCTAATAATAACATCGAAGACCTTGAGCAATGTTAATATAGTATAAGCTTGTAGGAATGTACAAAGTCAAGCTTTAATTAATCTTTATGCTTCTTAGCTCAATTTCATTTTCAGTGGCAATATCGCAAAAATATCTTGTACTGTTGTTTCTACTTCATAATGGGGGAAATTGTGCAGCACGATTTTAAACGTTTACTTCACACATCCGAAAAAATTAAATCTCTTGAGATTTATTAATTCGTTGTCAATATTTATATGTATCTAAAGATTGATATGTCCTGGCTTACATAAATTTTTCTATACTCGCATAAACAATTTTGGCCATAAAGAATTAAAGTCGCGAACACTTTAATAAAATATACAATTATAGGTACACCTATCAGTGTAACGTCGTTTTCTTCTAGATTGAATAAACATTTCCACCATATTCGTGGCAATACGATACCACCACATACCACTATTACATAATATACGTACTAGTTACAAACAATCTTAAATAAAATAGAATGTTGTAATTAGGTATCAATAAACGACATTATTTGTAGCTTTCTCTAGCAAATATAACTCGAACTCCATCCATAGAAATAAGAAACGTTATAATGAGCAGATAGATTGAACAACAAATAAACTGTAAAATGATTACAAGGAATATAACAAGCAATAACAATTGTTAGAAAAATTAACAGTAAATCACAAAGCGAATGAATGTAACGATTATTTTTGCATTAATCAAATTATATAACAATTTTCAACTGACAAAATGATTCTTTTCTTTTACTTTTGTCTCATTTTTCATAAATATCAGACCATTGTGCAACATTTCTCTAATATAGTATTCTATTTAAAAGTCTCAAATTTTTATATAATAATTTCAAGTTGCAATTTATAAATACGGTGCCGCAATAAGTACATTATACTTCATTTCGTTCGACTCAGACAAGTAAGTTTATATTACACAGCGAATCCTAATAAGTATAAATTTTACTCAATTACACACTCGTGAAGAGTATGTCGAACATAATAAAATCCAGAAATAGGGAAGACGAATTCAACAAATAATTTAAATTCAGAATTTAATCATTGAAGTACACAGTGAACATCTTATCTGATACATTGTCTCCTCTAATAAATGGACTGAATTTTGCAGGTGAAACGATATATATTCCGGAAATAGAACCAGTCAACAGATTGACAGTCAAGTGGAAAACAACCCGGTTAAATGATAAGCCATCGATGTGCTAAAAACTGCAAGAGTATCTAGGTCTAACATCTCGAGTCCAGAGAGAAAGATATTGGAAAAGGGAAATACAGTACAGACATTTTATCGACACCTATCTGCAAAGAGCGTTGTAGTAATCATACAAATGAAAAATCGTTCCTTTGTCATACCATGTTAATGATCGCTTGTTTAAAACTCAATAAAGTTCGAAGTTACAAATGCCAATTGTGTGTGTGTGTGTGTGTGATAAAATTGAAACAAATCAGTGTATTAAAATGAATACGTTGAATTAAATAGTTCTGGAAAAGAAAACACATGTGATTAAGGTCGAAACAATATGACTAAAGTAGTTACAAGGTTTAAATAAAAATATCAATAATAGTAATACAGAGAATTATAATAGTGTTATAAGAATAGATATTATATATTATTGTAATTCTGATATATATTATATATTCTTATAATTATATATTTCTTATATATATTCTTATTATTATTATATATATTATTATATATATTCTGTTAACACTATTATAATTCTCTGTAATATTGATATTTTTATTTAAACCTTGTAATTACTTTAGTCATATTGTT